GGTGGATGAGTGGCTTTACACTTAGAGACAAAATGTGAAATGATTATATCCTTGATAGGGTTTGTGTAGCTCCAGTGATGGCCAAAATTAGATATTTCGTCTTAGATGGTTTGGTCACATTAAACGTCGATCATCTGTTGATCTGACTAAGAGAGCAGATGTTTTAGATTCGACTTATGTTAAAAAAGGAAGAGGTAGACCTAGGAAGACTTGGTCTTATTGTATAAAAAAGGATCTTAATTTATTAGAACTAAATGAAAATATGACATTGAATAGGACAAAATGGAGAAAAATGATTCATGTAGGCGACCCCAAGTAGTAGGATTAAGGCTTTGTTGTTGTTGTTGTTGTGAGTGTGTGTTAAATTTTCATGCAAAGTTAAGACAATAATTCATTACTCTACCTTTGTAAATCTTCTAGTATGCAGTAGTTTGACACCGTTTGTGAAAAAGCGCATTACCATCACTAAAGTACTTGCGGGACTTGCTGCATGGCCACCAAATACAACACTCGCAACAATAGAGCATCTCACTCAACACCCACCAATCCAGAAGGAAGTCACGGAGCCAAGCGCGTCAAGCCTTTACATCCTCCCACTTTAGAAGTTGTCATCCCAATGACGAAGGTGCCTCGAGTCCTTCTATTGAAGATCGAGTACATAGGATGGAGGCATGTCAACTAGAGATTCTACAATTCCTACGCGGGGAGCGGCAACGACAATATAAAGAAGCTTATTTACCACCAGTTCAGCATTCAATAGAAAATTCCCCACTCCCCAAGTTCTCTCCTAGTGATGAAACGAATCCCCTACAGAGATGGGACATCGGTCTTCTCGTCATTACAAGTTCCACTCGTCAATCTCATGAAGCTTGATGCCCCTTAGAATGTTTGCGTACATATATGTGTAATTACTTCAATTTCAAACTCCAAAGATGACACCAAATACTTGACCCGGCCCACAATTACGCAGATATTTAATTTCATATCCAAAAACTTGACCCAATTTAATTATGGCAGCTAGTTTGCAAAACAAATATTTGGTAGAGTTTAGAATTTAATTTATAGATCACACACTAGGGGGTACTACACAAGTACATGTATCGTTACAAGTAGTATAGGGTTTTCTCTTGAGACCAAAGTATCGATCCCACAAAGAAGCGAGGTAAGAATCCCTTAGGATAATTCTTGTCTACTAATTTCAGGTCTTAGTTTGAAATGACAATTAAGGTTGTTTCCTATCAACTAATCCTAAATAAAAACCTATATCTAAAGATAATCCTAACTGAAGATATTGGTTTGAAGAATTTTGAGATATTATAAACTACCTTGCTCATGCGCGACCTAGATAATGCGTAAGAATAAAATGCTAAGAATTTAATGTGACCAGTGACAAATAGGAGCATATCTATTATTTACCCTCTTTTGAGTGCATAAAGAACATCGGCTAATCTAAAGTTAAGTTCCTAATTAATATGGTTAGGTTGAGTAGATTCTAGCCTCTCACTTCCAAATTACCTATTGTGCCCTCTCTATAGGACTAACCAGGTCTTAGGTTCTGAACTAAAGACCAAATTGGTTAAAGTTCTAGTATGTCACTCTATAATCACCAGTTCTACGTCCACCAAAACTTATCTCCCTATCTACTTGCACTGCCCCTTGGACTTGGCTCCCATCCATCCTAAGGGTTAGTGTGGTACTCACTAGTTGAGTGAATTCATAGCCCTCCTAGGTCATTATGTTTCGCAATGGATTTTAACATTATGAATAATCAGTTTGCAAAGTAAATTAAGTACAGGTAAAAATACCATCAAATTAATAAAATAAGAGAATTTCTAAGCAAATCTAAATTCCTAAACATGCATCCATTTCACTGCAAAAGAAAAGTAAAATGAAGATGATGACATAAACAGTAAAAGAATTGATAGAATTATGTGCTAACAAGAAACATATGTCTGTCTACCCTCTTCCGAGTATATAGGTACACTTAGTATTCTATTAATTTTACACAATTAGCTGTTAGATGTTCCAAATAGAAATATATCATGAATTATATTTTCTTAAAAGTTGCATTACCGCCTAAACTATTTCACCATATCCAACTGGACAATATGAGTGCACTCAAGTTGTAAGATCATCGCTCTCTCGAGTCTTAGTTTCACTTACAATAAGTTTTAACATAACATGTTGCCAATTAAGTTATGTCAATAAAGCAAATGAGATATTACTCATCACATGGAAATGAAAATTATTTTATCATAAAATAAATTTTTCTACTCATGTCACTACTTCATAACAAAAGAAAAGAGTAAAGAAAACCACATCTTGAAGCATGGATAAAACACAATAGAAAGTTTCATTAAATCAAAGTAAATCCACTAAAAAGTGTTTACAACAATTATAAGATAATGAAGAACACAATACTTAGTTTTTTTCTCTCTGAAAGAAAGATAAAAGTCCCTCCAACAAAGTCTCTTGCTGATCCACACAATGCTCGTACAATTCCTTACACATATCTCTCAAAATCCCTCACCAATCTCTCCAGAAAAGGAAGAAATTTTTATCTCTTACTCCTATCTACGATCTCTGGATGTTTTTGGACTTTCCAAGAGTTTGAAATGTCAAAAGGTGCATTCCCAAGTCCAAAATGGTGCCTTATAAACTCCTTGGGTCGTCTAGATTTGCCCACAACCGTTTTTGGTGCCTAGGCGCCAGAATTGGTGCCTAGGTGCCATTTTCTGGGTGAGACTGGTGCCGCAACCCTACTAGCAACACCCTGTTTTGCGCATGTTTCACCCCGTTTCAGCTTTAATCCGCTCCAAGTGTTATACCTACAAGATAAAGATGGAAATAGCCTTTCTTTAAAGTACAATTTTATTCAAAAATATGGGTTAAATGTAAAGGGAATTAAGCATAAGAAAAAGATAACAAAATGCACCATGTCAGAATTTTCTTCCCTGCTCCATTTGACTCCAAATGCACCATTTTTACTCCATTTTCTCCAATGTTGCACCTATAATAAAAAACACACAAAATATCTTCCATTAAAGTGCAATATCATTAAAAATGAGCATAAAATGAATATAAAAAGTAGGACATTTTTAGGCATGTCAAAGCTCACCTGGGACAGCCCCGCCTTACAGTCACTTTTGCTGATGTCATCCGTGATGAGCTACGACGCCTGGGTCAGAAAAAGTTCCCTTTGGACAAAAGGGATCACTTCCTCGCTCATCATAACTTCCAAGAATCCTCTTCTTTGGCTGACGCAATTCTCAGACACCCTATTTCAATGGAGTTGCTAGAAAAGGATCTATCGGTTTATTTTTTGACAAGGAGTTTTGAATGGCATGCAGGTTCGAAGATTTGGTT